TACCCAGTCATCTCACCATCACAGCTTGGTCCTTGTCAAAGTCACTCAGATCCTTACACCCTCTTTTCCTGCTTCCAACACATCAACTTTGAGGACTGAATGTTCACTTGCTGCCTAATATACCCCACACACTGACAGGTGCTACTGTAACAGATAGTCAGTGTTATTCACTTCACCTGCCAGTGGTCATTATGTTTTGCCTGATTGGTGTATCAAGTAGCTTATTGAGGTTTTGCTCATGGAAGGTTAGACAGACTGACACTCCATGATGATTTCATGCACCTGTCCTAAATCATGAAGTAGGACTACAACTATTGCTCGGCTGGAAACCTCGACTCAAATTGTTTCACAATTTTGTCAAAACAAATCTTCTTGCCATGAAGTAAAGAACAGGGCTGAGCTATATCATTCTAATTCTGAACACAAACATGAAAAGACCAAAACCAACTGATAACAAAATCAAGTCACAAACATGTATCTTAAATGTTCAGAGGCTCTGCAATGTCCCAAAACAGCTAGGTTTTAGTAAACATTACAGTAAGAAGAAATACTGTACATTTGTATATTTCTTCACCTTAGATTAACACAGTTAGTTCTACAATAACTCCCACTGTGGGTACTACAGCCCCTGGACAGCCCCCGGGGGCAGAGTCCTGCATGGGTCTGATTGTGCAAACTCGTAATATTGCTTTTGCAGCTTACCTGAGCTGGTGCAGGAGAGTGCTCTGGCGTGACACAACAAGGGTGTCAACTGCTTTTATTCATTCTCCAGTTTACATTTAGTATTTAACTGAATGTCTGCACAACAATATCACCTGGAGTGTCCAAGGTTTGTTGAGAGATTAGAGAATAGGCCTACATGAAATCAGTCACTAAATACTGAAAACATACCATAGCTGAAACTTCTCTGTTTGTTTTGTCTGTGTTGCATATGTGTTTAGTTATAAGTTATAAGGGTTTGCCATAAGGAAAACATAAATCATTACTGAATAACAGTGCTTCACAAAAAACAGAGAATTATAATATTTAAAAATAAATACAATCAAGGGTGGATTAAAATGTCATACCTGCTGTAAGTACTTCTGACTGCAGGACAGTATATGTGGGATGGCCAGACCTTCAGATTACCATATATTTCAGTGTGAGGAGTGCACAAGTCTTAAAAAGTTCAAATATTTCTAACTTGTCACCCATAGTACAGCTTGACAGCATAAGTAGCCAATGGTTCTTTCCTGAGGGAAACTGACTCACATTTTCTGTGGCCTGGCAGCTGCTCCGTAAATGGAGAGTCGGCCCACGCCGCCACAGGGGGACCCTCTCTCGCCCCGACACACCAGACTGCAATCCTCCTCCGGAGCCCGAGAGCTACTGATCCGGTTCCCACAGTGGCATTCAGCTCCAAATTCCAGACCTGCAAACTGGTACCCACTAATCACACACACACACACACACACACACACACACGCACGCACATACACAAACACACACAAACACAGCCAAGGGCAATACATAACCTCAAGCTAGTGCCCTCAGGCAAAGCCGTCACACAGGACACTCTAGTTAACATCCCATCAACAAGTTTCAATTCATCATTTAACTCTGACTTTCCAGCATTAAACCCACAGTGTGGGCCATCCCCTGTGTTATGTCTCAGGACACATCCTTCTGCATATTGCCTTTTTCTAGCTGAACTGTGGTCACCTCTGATCTGTACTTTACATATCAAGGCTGTTGCGACTCATCCCTCTTCCTCTCTCTTTATCCTGCCTCCTTGGGAAAGACAGAGACCTCATCAAAATTGGCCTTTTCATACGTATATGTTCTGTGAAGCTTCTTCATAAATTGCCATGACTTTTAACTTTTGCTCATCATGCTAATTGGCCTGCTCAGGTAACGAGCATGACAGCTTTCCATGTGGATGGTTGGGGGTGGGCATGGGGAGGGGCACCAACTGTCTGGCTGCATCCATCTGTCCCCTGCTGTTCTGTTTCAATCTGGCTGCACTGCTTTCTGGTTGTAAAAAGGTATAATTGAAGTGGGTCATTCCTTGAGTTTGCTTTGAAAAATCCACCTGCCTCTCTACACTGTCTTGCAAGAGAGTCATTTCACTGCTGTTAATTCAACTCATACTGATCCAGAGATTTTCACACCATGGCCACAGGAAAGCACATATCTAAGCACTAATTCATTCAGCAACCGCTGTAGTCAGCTCATTAAGTTGGCTAACACATACACACACCTCCCTCCTTCCTCCTCCTGCAACAGATCAAGCCTTCTGTCCTGGCCTGCTCTTCACTCTCCCCTCTTCTACACCCCCTCATCTTTTACTGTCATCCAGCCACCTGGCTCTCCACTGGCTCAAAACACAGGAGGCATTCATGGAGGAGACTGAGAGCCAAAGTATTTATTCAAACAGCAGGCCTTCTGTGGTCCCTTCACAGGAGCACACATGAAGCACATTACCTTTCTGAGCAGGTGTCCTGACACAGAGAACTGGTCATTTTGCGCAGGTCATAAAGCATGGTTCCTCCCAGGGCACGAGCACTGGCATTGTGCAGAAAGCAGCCGATGTAGGTTCCTGCATGTGTCAAGGGAGGAAAAAACCTTCAGTCTGAAATATTCCCTGTAAAGACTGCAGTAGGTGTTTATGTACATTTTGTATTGAAATAATTAGTCAGTCATTTTAATAGACAACGGTTCAGATAATTAGTTAATCCTTTAACTAATTTGTCAGGCAGAAACACTAAACATTCTTTGTTTCCAGGCTCTAAAACGTGAGAGATTGCTTCTTTTCTTTTGTTGTATGTGATTAGCTTCTGTGTTTTAGATTGTTAGTTAGCCAAAATAAAGCAGAATCAGAATCAGAATCAGTTTATTGGCCAGGTGTGACGGACACACGAGGAATTTGACTCTGGTGCATCGACTCTCAATGTGCAAACAGTAAGCCAGCATAAGGCTGTGTAATATAACAAAATAAGCAGTATTAACAGCAACACTGACAGCAACAAACAGTGCAAACAATACAGAATAAGTATAAATGGACAGTAAACAATGCAGACAACAAAGGAATGTTTTTTGAAATGAGATAAATAGGGATAAAAACAGAGTACTTAAGAACTAGAGACCTGTACGAGTCTGTATAATCTGTACGAGGCATATTTACAGGTATTGCACTGAGGGTTATTGTCCAGTCATACTGTCGTGGGTTAAGTGTTCATCGGGGTGACAGCCTGGGGGAAGAAACTGTCCCTTTTCAGTTGATTCTATTATGTAGAACTAATTTATTGAACTAACTATTACTTGTCCTGTTTGGTTGCTGAGCCAAACCAGACAGTGATGGAGGTGCAGAGAACAGACTCGATGATTCCCCTGTAGAACTGTATCCGCAGCTCCTGGAGCAGGTCGAACTTCCTGAGCTGGCGCAGGAAGTACATCCTCTGCTGTGCCTTCTTGGTGACGGTTCTGATGTTGGACGTCCACTTCAGGTCCTGGGAGACAGTAGAGCCCAGGAACTTGTTGGACTTTACTGCTGATACAGTGCTGCCACGTATGGTGAGGGTGAGTAAGGTAGAGTGGGTTCTTCCTGAACTCCACTGTCATCTCCACTGTTTTTAGCGTGTTCAGCTCCAGGTTGCTGCAGCTACACCACAGGACCAGCTGCTCAACCTCTCGTCTGTAGGCTGACTCGTCCTCATCTCGGATGAGACCAATGACCGTTGTATCATCAGCAACTTTAGGAGCTTGACAGAGGGGTCCTTCGAGATGCAGTCGTTGGTGTAGAGTGAAAACAGCAGAGGGGAGAGCACACATCCCTGGGGGGCACCCGTGCTAATTGTCCGGGTGCTGGATGTGGTTTTCCCCAGCCTCACCTGCTGCTCCCTGTCTGTCAGAAAGCTAGTAATCCACTGACAGGTGAGGGCACGCACAGTGAGCTGGGTCAGTTTGGAGTGGAGGATGTCTGGGATGATGGTGTCGAACACTGAGCTGAAGTCCACAAAGAGGGCCCGTGCCTACGTCCCTGGGGAGTCGAGGTGTTGCAGGATATAATGCAGTGCCATGTTCACTGCATCGTCCACTGACCTGTTTGCCCGGTAGACAAACTGCAGGGGGTCCAGCAGGGGGTCTACGATGTCCTTCAGGTGGGTCGACACAAGTCTTTTGAAGGACTTTATAACTACAGATGTCAGGGCGACAGGTCTGTAGTCGTTCAGTCCAAAAGAGTTTGAAGGTGTCACCACTCAAGAACAATAAATGGAATTTATTCTGATATTCTATTGAGTCATGATTTATCAATCATAACTAATTACAGATTAATCAATTATTAAAACATTCTGTTTCAGCCTTAATATCATGAATTACACCACATTTAAAGTTGATTTTGAGGTTTATTCTCAGCATATTTTCACAAAAAAAAGCTAACATGTTATTTGGTTGATCTAAAAGTAGAATAATAGAATGATTTATTATGCATAGTGGTGCAGTAGTTGGCACTGTCACCTAACAACAAGAGAGTTCTGGCTTCAGACCTCCTGGTCTGCTATCGGAGTCTCTTCCCTATCAAGAACATGCCATAGGGTTAGGATAAGGTTAGCATTCAGGGTAAATTATAGGGGGAAATCAAACCTTGATGGGGGAACAGACTTTTATACTACACTGGTGTTTTGTTGAGTTGTGCTGCCTTGTCAAGATATGCTACCCAAGTCTATGGACCTACTAACCCTAATCCTAAACTAGTGCACATACGCAAAACCGCTGAGCAGCACAACTCAGTAGGCATCACAGCTTGAAAGAACACTGGGGCCGCTCTGTGTTTCTCCGGCTACTCCTGCTTCCTCCCGCAGTCCAGAGACATGCAGGTTAGGCAGACTGACACTCCAAATTGCCTGCAGGGTTGCATCAGGAAGGGCAACCAGCTAAAAAACTGGACCAAGTTGAGTACTGGATTGAGTGCACCAGGGAGCACCCAAAGTTAAAAAACAATCTTAATTCTCTGTGTTTGGTTTACACATTTAAATTCAAATTGAGCATGTGAGTAATGCACACCCCCTCAGTTAGCCATAAATAAGCATTACTTATTCGCAGAAATGATACAGTACACACCAACATGGGTGATAAGCCATAATAGCTAACAAATTTATAACACGACTAGGCCTAGCTTGTCCTCAAATACACAGTAGATTATTTACATCCCTACATTACCGTGAACATATTTACTTGAAACTGAATAATAAAAAAAGAAAAATCCATATGGGACAAATGTAACTCACAATAAGCTATGGCAGTCTATCATGATGTGCTGACAAGCCTAAGGTTCCATGTAATAGCACCCAAATTCAGTCTTTGATGTTTTCTTTGTCACATCAAACTCAGCTCGGCTGACAAGTCTTCTTGATAAATACCAGTTTTAGTGTGCAGCATATGCGCTTCTTTTGTTTGCTGACTTCATTTACATGTTGCCCCTTGGGTCTGAGAGTGGTGTATTTTTAGGTTACATGCTAGATATTTATACTCACTGGGAAACTGTGTGCTGTGAGTGTGAACAGGTTAAAGTCTGTCTGGTTCATGGAGTTCACACAGATCATTTCTCAGTTTTGGCTTTTACGTTCATTTCACAAACCCTAGTATGAATTTGTATTCAGAAATCTTTTAAGGTTTCGGGGATGCTGAGGATTCAGGTTGCATCTTTTATGTTTACTATCAGCATAAAACTAGATTGTTGACAACTGGCCAAAGAGAGGATGCGCTGGAGGAGATGCATGCTACCAGGACTGAAGTCATGTGGCAGCAGGGTTCACACAAGCAAGCAATGGACTGTGAAATATCCGGCAGACCAAGCATCACTGTATCGAATTTGTGATTCAATCAGTTTGTGATGTCCTCTGAAGCCTGCTCAGCCTGTTGTGCTGTGGCGAGGCTGAGTCACCAGCTGCCTCTGCTGCAGGAGACTAACGCTGGAGAACACCAGCAGCTGCTGCATGAAAGCACTAGGTCTGTGGTAGGAAGCATCTCAAGAGGTAGCACCTAAGGTGAGGCCTCCTTACCCCCTTCACCCAGCAGGGCAACCCAATGCTTTAATCAAAGTGAGGGAGACACCCCAGGCAGCTGCAGCTGAGGGTTAATGGAGGGAAGTGGCCTGAATTCCCAGACATGATAGAAATGGCTGCACTTAGGTCTGACACAGTGTCGCTTTCTTTGAGACAGATGGCTGATTCTTCCCCGCAGGATTGGATGGAGGAGGTTAATGAGAGAATGGCCATGAATGAGGACATGTGCCGCTGCCCCAAGTAAGATGTGCACTGTGTGTGTCCATTAAAGTGGGCTGAAGAGGGTTCACGGTCTCTCTGCTGGGTCTATCTATAATATGCTCATCAGAACCACAGCAGAGGTCTCAACATGTGGTTTGTTGACTCAAGTTGGGATCAGAGATCTCAGCAGGATGTTTAATAATGGAACAAACTGTGACCGCAAGTAACTCCTACATCCATCAGAAGATGTATGTGCAACCAAATCACCTGCACTTTCTGACTACCTACAACTTTACAGAGGAGTCATTATAAAGCTTATAAAAATCACATATCTTGAAACACCACCACAGAGAGAATGGCTACTGCTGTTCAACCCCTGTAATATTTCTTACCTGTGATCCCTCTGTGCATCCCAGCCTGTGTAACACTTCTTATATGTTTTTTGCATATCAAAGAATGTGTGACTCACCCCCAAGAGGTATGAAATTTCAGCAGCAAAAGTAAAGCAATATGCGTCCCTGTTCTTATAGTAAAATGTATGACTATTTAGGGCCCCTGAATCTAGTACCTGGAAATGCATGTGCAAACCTTTGTATCAAGCTGCGTAATATTATTACTGCTATGTACTGTTTGAGGGATGAATAAACTAAAGAGAATACAACCGAATGAGAAAAGGAATATAAAATAAAGCTTTAACAGCAAGCCATTGACCTAAAAGTATTAAATTACAAGCACAGAGAACGAAGGAGGCTTGTTATTAAACTGCAAGCCTTAAATCTGGCATATTATATAATGGTATTTTATTTTTTTGTACTTCTTAATTTCTTTTATTATCGCTTGGTAGTCCAGAGTAGCACTTGCCAGATACAGATAACATAAGTATATAACAAATACAGTATATAGGTACTAGCAGATGTATCAGTTTCTAAGATTGAGTAACTCCAGTACAAACATACTACATGTTTAATATAACTGAGAAACTGTTTTGCCATTACATAGTTCATCCAATAGAAAGAACTGACAAGTTCATTTTTACACTGTTTAATGTCCTGCTCAGTACATATCTTAAACACAATTCTTTAATAACCAAATTTAAGAATCTTTATGTCAGGAATATTTAGCAGCTGATAATTTATCCAATTTTTAAAACGCTAGCATCCAGTTTTCTTAGGACTCCAGTCCAGAGACGCCCACTGTGAGATTTGGATACCAAGATTGTGCTGGATGGAGAAGAGCTGTTTCGTGACTGCAAACCTTGGCTGAAAGCATCATGGCAGTCCTGATTTAGCGCCTTCTCATCTGTACTTGAGCTTGACTATACACTTTCTTGCTAAGAGTTTAATGAGAACATTAATACTACAGAACTCTCAAATCTTTGTTAAATCTAAAGCCGCCGCCAGCAGATGGTTAGTTCAGCTTAGCGTAAACACTTAAAAGAGGGGGACAACAGCAGGTACCATGTTATGTTTTTAGGTCAATCCTGAAGCATTTAAACAATATATTGTGGTTTCATGAAAGGATAGGTGCCATACTTCTTGGCTGGTAGCAGTGACTTGCCTCCTACTACTTGCCTGGCAACATCACACTGATGACACCAGTCAACATTTTAGTGAGCTTTACATTTGGATTCTTTTTAAGTTTGGACAGAGGCAGGCTCAGGGTTTCCCCACTTTCAGTCTTTATGTTAAGCTAAGCTAATGGATGGCAGGCTAAATCTCCAGATTTACTGAATGTGTTTTCATGTAACTGAGCCAATATGTGTATTTCTCAAACATTAATCATCAAAACAGTTGCCAATTAATTTTCTCTCAGCTCAACCAATCTGAATTACTTCAGCGCATCTGGGACAGACACATACATGTAGATACTGTTTAGAGGTTGTGCTGTAGGGGTTTATGGGTCACGTCAGTCGGTTCCTCCTGCAGGACATGACCCAATAGACTGGGGTGACTTCATTTTTTGTCCTGGGTAATACTT